TATAAGTGAAGATCATGTATCTTTGATTCATTTTTGTGCATTTTGAATCTCGCTGATGTCCATATCAACCTATTCCTCCCGCAGACAAACACCTGTTTTCCGCTTCAATATGTCCTGATTGTGACATAGTCATGGAATGTGACTTTCTTTTGCTCCATTAAAAAAATGTATAAATTTCTCTTGTGTGTATTTTACTATAGTGCAAATCGTAGTCTTCCCAAGAGTTTCTGGCTGCGTTAACTAATAGACTACCCAGTTGAACATGTTATTGCCCTATTAGATCATTCAGTCCTACTTGTAACGCAAAGCGAAATCTTGTTTTCCACTGACTGCTTCGTTCTAGTGAGCCGTTATGGGAACTCGGGCGGTATCTGTGACGTTGCTGTCAGATAAGTTGCGCTTTTGCCTAAGCACCAATGGATCAGCTTCCCTAAATGCTCTAGTTGTTTGGTGTCTGTTTCGTATATGGCTTCGCCCTCTAAGGCTATCGCTATTGGGTAATCCCCCTGCGCACCCGCGCCAGCACTGAAACACTTGTAGTCCACGCCCACCCGCAAGGTGGGCCCCGCCCTCGGCTTCCTTCCTCGGTTATAAATAGGAAGGAGGCCCAGCAATCTGCTCCCTCTTTCTTCAGCAAACCATCTGCAGTTGCACAGCACATAAAACATATGAGCAACAACTGCGTCCGAAATTGCCCTCGCATGGTGACTCAGCTATATCATGCTTGCTCACATTGTGCCTGTCTCCCATCACCGACAGGAAGCTCAAGAGCGGACGCTCTAGCTGCTGCGGCCGACGGAGGACGATTGGCGCGGTCCAGGAGCACGTGGACGGCAAGCATGTCCCTGGGAGCCGAGTACCGCAGGTGTCGCACCGGCTTCCTACCCTGTCTCCTCCATGGTCACGGTGGATCGTCCCTCCCTCCTCTCCCCCGGACGGGGGAGACAGAGTCGGAGCAGGGGGCTGGTTTGGCGGCCGAGCATGCCGTCCCCTTCTCCGTCGCCACAGGACGGCGCCCTACGTTGAGCTCCCCCAGAGAGTATGTCGCCCGCCAGGCCGACCGGGTGCACCAGTGTGCCTTTCAGGCGGCGAATATTATCGCGCTACTCTCCAACTCGGTGGTGACACTGGTAGAGCGGCCCACCACCGAGGCAGAGGAAATCAGCAAGGCGGCCAGCATGGCGCTCACTCTGTGCGCGTCCGTCGCTGTCTCCCAGGCGAGGATTTCCGCGTGGGTGACACAGATCCAGCGCCACCTCTGGCTGCAGCAGGCGTCTGTTACGGAGACGGCCAGAAAAGTGCTACTGGACGCTCCAATCAGCCCGTACGGGCTGTTCGGACCCCAGTTCCACGCCATGGTGGAGTCCATGAAGACGGCCGCGGAACAGGCGGACGGCATTCGCCAGCATGTCAGCTGGCTCCAGCCTGCTGAGCGCCCACAGCGGCACCAACGCCTGCAGCAGCCGCTGCAGCCGCGGCGTCCATGCCGGCTACAGGAGGCCGCAAGCGGAGAGACGCCCACAGCAACCGCCTCGGCGTCAGACTCGCCCTTCGGCGGCTGCAGGGGCTCCGTCCCATGTCTCTGCTCCCCCGCCACCCCAGAGACAGGGTCTCCCGGCGGCGAGTCAAAGGGGAGTGAGGCTCCCCCGCTCCTGGTCTGCTCCGCGAGAGCCTCCGAGGAAGCAGAGCCGGTAATTAAGCCGGCTGCCACTAATCTGTTGATTAAGTAGACAGCAGGGCTCGCTGCAGAAGCCTGCCGGTTTTAACCTCGGTTAATAACCTGCAGAGCTCGCGGCATTCCTCTGTCCGAGATACGCCTCCTACACACGGTCATAATAACCCATGAGCGCCGTTATAACGCCTCATGTGGACAGCACTGCACACCACCCTCCATCCATCCTCTGAGCGTGTACACGCGCTCATGATGACAGCCGAGTGAAAGCAGCGTGGTGGAGGCTTCCTCGCAGCCCTTTTCGCCTCACTATTTATTTGATACACGCTGCTCGTCGCTACTGCTTGAAGTTAAGGACAAGCGTGGCTCATCAGTCCATCTCTACGGATTGAAACCAAAGTGCATCACAGAACTTGGTGAGCATTACAGGCTCAGTCACAGAGCGGCCAGAGCGCGGAATGCGCAGTATTCCAGGCGTGAGTGTCCGATGCAGCAGAAGTGTTTGAACCTACCGGTTATAAACTCGCAGACCGTCGCCACGGCTAGGCCTATCTGTCCGAGATAGGAGCGACGTCATGAATATGTCCATGAGCTCGATAACGCTCATGTAACTGTTTATCTTCTCAAAGTCTTCTCAATCCTTTGTTTAACCTATCGGTTAATTATAAACTGCAAGAACATACTATGACATGTTAATATTATAACTCCTCGTCCTCGCCACTCAAAACTGTGGTATGATTAAGTTAGACAGCAGGCGCCTCAGAGTGAAACACGACCGGTATTGTGAGAACTCCTCTCCATGTTTTCATATAACTTCATCTTACTGTTCATCGTCTCAGAGGCCTTCGTCGTAGACGCTGGTAATATATAATACGAGATTAGCCTCTCTTAATCTACGCCTAATAAACCCAATGAGCGCGCTAACGCCTCATGTGGACAGCATCGCACCATTATCTTCACTCCAATGTCCTCGCCTCGCAGCCTCCCGGTCTGTAGGGTACACGCCCTCATGATGAGAGACGGAGTGAAATGCAACATGTGGAACTCGTGATCTGGCTTCAGACAACAAGTCAAGCAGACTCGCATCTCAGCCTCCTAGCCCTCTCTTCGACTTCACGTGAACTGGCAGACGCTGCTCGACAATGCGTGGGCACCCTGCATTGTCTTCTCCTGTGTGTGAAAAAAGGAAAATGTCTACATATGCTGATCTGTTTTCATTGTCCCTGCTGCATGTCGTTATGTCATCATTTTCCTAGGTCTTCTGCCTATCCATCTTGAATTTTAATTTGTATACTACATGGAAATAACTAACTAATGTTAGTGCAGCGAGTGGAGTACCATTATATATGCACTGTCAAATGCCATTATGTGCAAGTTATCCGCGCGGGTGATGGTGGCTCGTCACCATGACGGACCATTACGGCACATCACAGAGGAGCCCTCCCCCCGAGCAGTTCCGATGGGATACGAGAACACTTCCTGTCCTCCCAGAGGGAACAGTTTCTTGCACGGGTTTTTCACTCCGCTATTTTCTAAATCTCCGGGAAAAAAAACGGGGGGGTCGCCCCGTTCCTGTACAATTCAAACATGTGGACTTCACACAGAACATGCACGGCTATGGAAGCAGGCCTACGCTCATCGCCAGGGAGGAGTACGATCTGCATCTCTGAACGCAGCATCAGGCGGCTGCTGTTGCTGGGGCGCGCACACACGTTGGCTCTTATCAGAGCAAGCTGTATATTCCCGGCCGAATTGAAACAGAAGGCTCGCAGGAGCGCAGCAGCCGTGTTATGCGAGGACTACGTGAGAACTCAGACTGTGTCACTGCGCACTGGCGCCTCAGTGGGATTTGGCTTGGTGTTAGGCACACTAACAAAGGCGCCCAGATTTGAACCTTTACGAGCCAGGTTCCCTTAAACTGTTCTCAGCCAAAGTAAGTATTACTTTTGGGCTCTATCAGCGAAAAGGGTGAGGATTTGTCTGCTTCTCTCTGTGCGGCTCCGTCATGCCTCCGGACCCTGGCCTCATATGCTAATGAATTCTCTCCACTGTCACTCACCTCTTTCCACTCTTGCGTCCTTCCTGCTTTTATTCCCAAAACGCTGTGCTCTAGAGAAAGCTACATCGAGTCGTGGTTTAGAGTGATGATTCTATTCTTTATTGCACGATGTTTGTTCAGGTAGTGATCACTCTCTCTGGCTTGATAGGACTTCTTTCCCCTGCCTACAGGTCGGAGAAGAAGCCGCGTCTGTCGACTCCTCCTCATGTCCTCTCCGCTACTTGGAGCGGACACTCATTACAGTAGCAGTCATTGCAGAGCAGCTCGTCATCCTGGG